CCTTAGCGTAACGAGTTAGTAATAATTAGGAGGGCGACCGGTAGACAAAGGCGGGAATAATTCTATCGGCAGAGTTGGTAGCTCGTAAATTTCCGTTCTCCTGGAAACTCGGGCCTCCCTTCCCAAAAGAGGGAATCGCGTTAATTATAATACCGCCATTTATTCTGGTCGGACAACGGTTTCCACCGGCGGCGGACAGGAACGAGAAAGAAAGGGCCGACTGAGGAGCTGTTGCGGAGGGAAAGAAGGTGCTAAACGGGCATCACCGAGAGTAGCGGGACAGGAGAATGGCGACCATAACGTAATTTTGACAGAAATAACGCCGCCGTTCCACGCTCGGAGACAATAAGTTCGCGACCGCTCTCGCTCGCGGTGGATCTTAGAATAGTTTAGTGTCCCTCTCGCGTCCTCTTCTGGCCCGCGGATTCCCCGTCCCTGAGCCACCTTCGTGCCGGGACTCTCTTTCCCTCCGGTTTCATCTCCTCCCTTTTTGCGTGACCCTCTTGGCGCCACGATTTTCATGGTTGCGACCGGATTGATGATTCGCCCGTATTATGGCCCACCGACCATTTTCGTTCGACTCTTTTCAGAATTATTTTATATCTTATGTCGTATTAAATAAATTATTACTGTTTTTAAATGCCTTGAAAGACTGTACATGTCGACTGGCAATTGCAAAATTTTATGTCAATACTGAAGAGATTATGTATTGCAAAATAATTTTTATACATCTTCAGAAATAATTGTTGGATATCAGTTTTGATGTATTTTCTAAATATTGAGGGACGACGTCAAAATCAATTTTCCAGCGATCTCTACGCAAGCGAGGCAAGCCTCGATTCTGGCTGATTAAATCGCATCTGGCAGTCCTTTACCCGGGGCCGTTTTTCCGAAAACAATGTTATGACGAGGGCCATGGAAGGGGTGGCTGCCCGTTGGGATTTTTTTTGTCGGTATTTTAGGCCCTCTCGAGAGCGAAGGAAGAAGAAAGGTTGAATGGAAGCTTCCGTCCGCGAAACTGCGACGCAGCGGGCACTTGACGCATTATCCAAACACACGATTTCAGTGGATTACGTTAATGCCCGCACCGATTCCTGGTCAATTATCCGTGAATATTCACGGTTAGTCGAGAACAACAGTCCACAGGCTGATTTTCGTTAATGGGAACAATTAGAATCGGGAATACAATTCTACTTTGCCAATTAACAATCGAATTTGTATGAAAACATTAAATAAAAGAAATCTGATAATTTTCATATTTATGGAAATGAACGATATTAAATAAAATTCAGATACAGGTTTGGGTTGAAGATTTGTTAAATAATAATGTTGGGAAAGTGTTTACGTGGAGGTCGTGCATGGCAGAGGATTTTCAGTGGCACGCAGGCCAGATCCACAGGGCATATAAAAGATTATTCAGCATAGGTTGATCTTCATTAATGGGAACGTTTAGAATCAGAAATACCATTTTAATTTGCAAATTAATAATCGAATTTGTATGAAGACATTTTTAAATAAAAGAAATCTTGTATTGTTTAGATTTATTGAAACTAATATCGTTATTTTCTGTAAATATGAACAATGTAAGATTTATTTTATTTAACAGTGTTTCGGAAGCAGGGTTTAATCGAAGAATGTTAGGAAGGGATTTACGTGGAGGTCGTGCGTGGCAGAGGATTTTCGGTGGCACGCAGGTCAGATCCACGGGGCACATAAAGGGTTATTCAGCTAAGGCCGCGCGGATTAAATGATAAAAAAGAAGAGAAGGAGGAAGCAGCGCGGCTGAAATACGGGGGCCTCCTTTTCACCGGTTCACGATCGGGCCTTTTTGAAAATTTTAAACTCCCCGACACCGGTGCCCGGGGTTTTTCATCCGCCAGCCGGATCGAGCTCTCCCTCCGAAAGCCTTGTGCGAGTTTCAAGAACTACGAATAAAAGGGTTCAGCCTCTCTGAAAGCCGTATGGGGTAGGAAAAGGGGGGATCCACGGTTGTTGCGTGTGTCGTCCTGGTTCGGAGATTTCTCATATTTTTTAAGATTTGTGCCCCTTAAGTCCTGTCACGTATCTACCGTATTCTTCGTTTAACAACTGTTCCTGACACGCCACGTGGGTGGCAGCTTTTTTCAAATTTTCCAAGATAATATAATTGACAATCTTTAATAAAATTTATTTGCAACATTAAATCTATGTAAAATGTCCTCTTCAGGATTTTTGGACGATTCTTCAAGCCTGAAAGTAAAAGTAAACTTGCATCGAAGCACCGAGAAGAAAAAACTAAGACGCATGCACTGTTGCATATTTTACCAAGATCCAAGGCCAGGTTCCGTTCGGCTCTCTAACAGTTTTGGCACGCTTCCTGCGACGCGGTTCGCATAATTAGCCGTCGACGAAACATTCGTTTGACATTCCCGGATACGAAAGAAGAATCATAAGCCTTTTACTTATTTCATTCCCGATCCGAATCGACGGTACATCTGAAAGCCTTGACCCCCGATATGAAACCCTAAAGAAAATCGTGTCTGGTGATGTAAATTCTCGATGTAAATTCGTACGCAGCGGCGCGGCGGCGTGGTGGCTCTAACGAGCTCCACAAAACATGCAGCTGCGTTACATAATTACCGCGCGCTGGAGGATAGATTAATAGTCATAACCGAACAAGTTGGCCAACAATACGCGCGAGAGCTAAACTGGATAATTAATTTAAACATCCGGAGCGAAACGCGGATTTCGTAACTCGCTTCGAGCACGTGCTAACTTTTTTTATTTCTCAAGCAGTCGTTGGATGTACTCCAGTTCTTTGTACTATATTAAAACGTTCGTTTTGCGTGCTATTGAAACATTTTTACCTATTCATTTCAAGAGGGAATTATTTGAATATTTTACAATTTCTTCAATTTAGCAAAAAGATTGATCCTGGATATTTGTCTATTCCATGATTAATTGTCATTAATTTATTCGTTGACAAAATGATATTTTCGATAAAAACTGCGCAGCTCGGAAGCGTCGCGCACTTGGAACATAATACGGTACAGACATAATGCCCGTGCCTCTCCCTCGCAACCTTTACCATTTCGTCTCTTCCCTCATCTCCCATTCTTTTATTTTCTTCTTCCATATCCCGCACGGGTGTAGGTATAACCCTTCTTCGCTTTCGCGTGTACACACGTGCGCATAAAAGTTGGCCCTGCCTCCCGCCCTCGCCGAGAAAGGGGAAGAGAAATATTCGACAATTTTTAAACTCGTTCCTGAACGAGCGTGCATTCAAACGTGCGCCGCGTGTGCTCGACAAGTAGGCATTTCTTGGAATTGCGTTAGCCATAACGAAGTTGGGAGCGTGCGTTTCCGGCGACCGAGGAACCCCCCTCGCGGTATTTGCGAAACGCTCCAGAGAAATGTGTTAATTATATCTACGTTTATATTGACGCGTATTGATTTTGTTTTATCGACCCTTTAGTAGTTTGTTTTGAAATTGATTAATAATTTAATTATTGATACATTAATTGTACAATTCTGAGAGATGCATTTCTGGCCTTTTGAGTACGTTTGATAAAAGCGATTCTTATAGATTTTCTGTCGAAATAAATGCAATATCCCAACGGCAGATAATGTTATGAGCGCGTGTGCTCGCCACAGAATGCTTCTTTACCAGCCAACTGTTAGCCGCAACGGGTAGCAGTATCGACGAACGGGAAACAGAGTGAAAGGGAATAGCCGAAAGCGAAATTCTATTAATAATTTTTTTAATTCTATGAGTCATAAGATCTCTGGTATAAGTTTAAGAAATGTAGCATAACTTAATAATTTTATTTATGGCTATACAGTCAATCCCAAAAGTTTATGCACTTTAGAAACGCATTTTTTAAAAAGAAATCAGACGTCGGAAGAACATTGGTAATAATAAACAACAAAAAAAATTTTCGATTTTTCCGAGATTTCTCCAAGGGGTACCCCTTCAATTTCTTCCAAATTTTCGTTTTTGGCCAATAACTACCAAACCGTTGGACCTACGGGAAAATTGCATCAGACCTTTCTTGTAGAG